TGCCCCCGCGGAGCTGCCAGCGCCACCCGATGTCCGGGCAGCGGGGGGCGGTGCTGCCGTTCCAGCTGCTGTTTAAGATCCGCTTCCGCGCGGTGCCCGGGGCTCGCAGCGGAACCGCGCTGCCGAAGGCGTGCCCGCGGAGCCTTCCCGCGCGGTTCACCTCCGAGGGAGGCAGCAGTTTGCTAGATTCGGATCACGGGGGGGAGAACAGACCAAAAAATCCTCCCAAACCAACAGCCGCTTCAGTAGAGCAGGGTTGTTTTTTGTGGTGTTAGAATTTTGTCTAAAGTCTGACCCAAACCATCATTTCAGTCAGCAGCAGGGTATGGCTGTTGCTTTCTGAAGGAGAGAGTCTAGTTAACCCAAGCGGACGAACTCTTAAAAACAGATAAGCCGCAGTCAGCTAACTAAAAGCTTAACATCTAGAGGCGGTAATCCCAAGAGGGAGATACTAGACGTACAGTCAGGTTTCAGATCACTCTGCGGTCATGTAGTGAACTGAAGATTATCACTATGTAAAGCTGCTCAGAATTTTCGTCAGGGTGCACGGCGATCAATGTGAAAGTTTGAACTGGCAGTCGCCCGTAAATCCAGATAGTTTGGGGGCTGCTAGAAAAGAGCAGTTCCTGTTATGCTGTGTAGTGTTTTATTTGTAAACAAGAGAATACGGCACCCGAGGGTAGACAGCAATTAGCGATTATTTAAACGTTCTGCGTGTTGTACTCTTGCAGATGTGTTACATGTTTGTTGAAGCTTCGTGCTGAATTAATGGTTACCTGTTTTCCCATGCACCGAGTAGGATGTATGAAGTGGGATGTGCCTTGTGTGTGCCGGTTGTCTGTTGGTACCGGGGTAATGTGATCTGACAGCTTTTTTTAGTATAATCTAGAATTTTAAGTAAGTGTAACTAGTTTTCACATACCCAGTATGTCGTGAATGCTTTCTGCTAAGTGTTTATAGTTGTTTTAAACAGGGGTGTGATAATCTCATTGGAAAGTTACTGTTCTGCAGAGATTGCCTTCCAGAGCAGGGCTGGTCAGTGAGCAGTCATCATGCAGGATCTGATTTAGGGTGTTTTTGTCTTGCCCCAGAAGATTTTTGAATACTTCCTGTTGTGGCTGCATGTGTCTGAGTGCTTGGCAAAGTAACACTGTGCTCATGAAACTCAAGTCTTCCCAGTGTTGGCACCTAGATCGCTGTCTCAGAGCTACCTAAGACTACACAGAAGGTTTAAAAAGGGAGGGGCTGTTTCAATTTATGAATGTATTTTCTGTTGGGTGGTGGGAGAGGAGTGCGATTTACCTGTGACAGTTGCTTAAAAATGCTAAGTGACTCAGATCTAACCCAGGAAAAGCAATTTCAGACTAGATTTCCTTTAGCTTTATGAGAAAGCAGTTATTTTATTGATAATTGTATTCCCCCCTCCCACCCACTCTGTAATTCACAAACCACATGTGCTGAACTGTTTAGAAACTAACTGGCTAGAGAGGAAGCATTTAAATGAAATTGGCAGAATGGGGAAGGATAAGGAGAAAAGACTGTTTGCAAAACTGGCTTCCATTATTGGATTAAGCAGGGAACTGAGGATCTCAGTGTAACACCATTCTAGTTTTTCGAAAAAACAAAAAATAAATCCAGTGGAGCATTATTTA